GTCGTCTCGATTCAACTGTAGATTGGGTTGCTTGTGACTCTTGTCGACGTTGGATACATGTTACATGTGTTCCTTCGTATGGAGATAAAACCTACAGCGGTTATTTTATATGCGAGTACTATTTTCCCGAAAAAAAACCAAACGATGTGATATGATAATATTGTTGATAATTATGAGTTGTGGATACACCCTATAGTGGGACAAAAAGGGTATTGACAGTGATTGTCATATTGATTGATTGGTTTTGAATAAAAAGTTATACTCAATAAACCACTTTCATCTATATTCAGAACCTTACATGGCGCAGTTTGTATATTGAGAACCGTTGCTGTCTGTTGCCTCTATTTTCCATCATGCCAAAAGCTGGAAAGAAAAGCAGTCCAAGAAACTACTGACCCTGCTTCAAGTGAGTCAACATCGATACTTTTGTTAGAAGAATACACAAAGCAATCTCTAGCGAATATGGAGTCATCATTTACTGCACGAATGAAACAAATTCAGGATACCATAGATAAATTACTTCCAAACAAATCTATCAGCCCCGATGAAGATGTTATTCCTGTTACGATGAACCCACCAAGTATAAGTAGGATGTCTACAGAAAATGTATCTAATCACCGCATCACTGGTGCCATTCCGATTCCAGACAAAATTGTAGACAACCTTACGTTGGCTCAGTACAAAGATTGGAGAAAAAGGTTTGAAAGTTACTTGGTTATTCATAGGCGTTACACATAGACGGGAAAGAAAAAGAAGCAAATATGTCGAACTTATGTGTTGATCTCTTGGATTTGAGTTTTAATCAGCGCAATACTTTGCATGACCTGTCGAATGTCCAGGACATTTTCAGGACAAGAACTGACGAATCCTTCAAAATCAGCATAAAGTTTCTAGCTGAAACGCTTGAGTACACCGGATTCTCTCCTGAGCTGGTATTAAAAAAATTCTTCAGGAGAGGAGCAGCTATTACTGTTGATGAAACATGGGTTATCTATGCAGATGAGGAGACTGAGTCAAAAACAATAATGACTATAAGTTCAACAAATATCAATCAGCATTTGGTATTGCACATCCTTTTCTTCGTGATGAGAGGAACAGCTACAAAGAAAGCATTGGAGAAGATCCAAAAGCAATGAGTAAAGCCATTGAACTTCATATTCAATGCGTATAAGACCTATGGCAGCAAGAAGGGCAGTGCTCCTCTGGGAAGAAATACCCCAACCATAGCAAGACTAGCTAGTTGCTTCTCTCATATCGTCTGTTACTTCCTATCTCAAGGAGTCGGCAAGACATACATTGATGAATCAGTGATAGAAAAGACAGCTGGACAACAATTGCCAAGACTCATGCTATCTAACATGTTTGTCGGGTTGGTTCCTCAGGCGGAGGACAGTGCTGAGTTAATAGACTATTGTAAGATGAGGAACCTATAGGTCAGTATGAGGAACCTGATGAATTTCATTAGGTATAAGGAACCTGAATTTCAGGTTGTTAAGAATGAGAGTCGGATATCCATTACTAAGGATGGAAATAACCAATATGCTATGTTTTCGACTTCCGTAAATACCGACTTGGTTCCTTGTAAAAAGGCACGGTTCGATGTTAGTACCATTAAGAAGAAAATAGATCACGTGCCATGTCATTCGAATGAACAGTTATTGGAAAATTCGAATGACTTTATCAACTCTCCGGTAGTTTCAGATGAACTAAAACACGACCTCAGTCATAGTAATAGTAGTAATAATAACAATGATGATGATAATAGACTGTTGGCCCGCGACACAGGGTTTATCGATGTTCTAAGTCGGTATGCCATTTAAGGGACCCACTCACTCAGTCCGAGTTAACAATAATAAGTGCCTCGGAGAGTCGCAACCCAGTCCTTGCCCCGGCCCTGACCTCACCTTTCGGTTGGAAAAAAGTTCAAAATTTTGTTTAAGAAGAAGCTCGGCAATGAAGTGCAATGATCTTATCTCAAGGAAATTGGGGCGCTTGCCGGTTTGCATACGCCTAGGTCACTCCCCAAAGGCGGCATACGAACCGGAAGTGGGAATTTTTCAGTGTTATAGTCGATGATCGAAGAATGTATGTCCTTTGGCGACAATGAATTGGGGCCCATTAATCAATTTCCCGACATTTGCATACGATTCCGGAGAGGGGAGCTCGACTTATTCGAACATCATTCGACTGGATATTCTTCGAATAATCGAAGAAATGTTCAAATTTTGACCATGGTTAGTGAATCACACAGTATATATGATATGATGGTTTGCATACAATTCGCACATTCCGTACAGGGTGTTTCACCATAAATATCTCCGATTGTAACTTAGTTGTTTCTGAACCGATTTTAAAATTTCAAAAACCAATTAAAATGATTTTTCTAAAACATTCTTCATTGTTATCAAAAAATTCACAGGCTGTTCATAACAAATGAACTATTGGGTAGTTGTCGATTTTTCTTACTGGAACACTATATTTTATATCACTATCGAGTTGAGATTATCATGACGAATACAGCTCTAGAGCATCTAGCGATATCATTTACACGCAGCACTCTTATAGCGATCATGCGCCAAATTGTCAAATTGTGCCAGAAATATATGAATCCCGGGTTTAAAGTATTTCCTTTTTTTCTTTGCTGAAACAATTTTCATATCTGAACAATGATTTTCTGCGGCAGCCGGGTAGAGTGTAGCACGTAATGATTCAGTAGGCATTCAATAATATTTTTTCCTTCTGTAGGAGATCCGATATTCAAATATCTCAAAAACCATTTACTTTTGTATAATGTATATTACAGATTCATTCACTTCTTACTACCTCCCCTACCAGTGGTATGAATCGGATTACCAGTAACCCTGTATATAAGTGCAGCGTGTGAATCTTATCGCTAAACGCCAGTCAACTATTCTGGGTTTGATGAAGTTATTTCATTGTCAGTTACATAAAAAATAATGGAGGGGGCTGGGCCCTTGATACTTTTTTTGGGTACGATTTCAATTGGTACCTTGGTGAAGCTCTTCAAGCAGAGGTTAATGATATCATAATCTCTGAGACTTCAACTGAGAAAGTATCAGGTATATCTTTCGATCATGCCAAGATTTTTGAATAATGAAATAATATTCTTACTAACAGGTACTGATGACAACTCTGAAGAATCATCTTCAGACAGCGAGAGCGAAGATGACTCTGAAGATAATGACAGAGAGGACGACGTATAATTTCTCCTTTGAAATATAATGTTGTTTTCATTTAATATAATTTCATTTTCAAATGATTTTTTGTTTTCGTGAAAAACAAAAATGTAGATTGAAGTTCAGGATACAGACCCCATACTATACCCAAAACATTCAACAAATTAAAAATTCTTCATTTATTTTTCAGTCGCCAGTATCATGATAAGCAGTCCCATAAGCCCCAGGAAGAATTTCAATTCGATTTATTGTGACTTCAATCCACCCCTCTTCTCCCTGTACGATCCCTCTTGATCATCCTGCAAGTATCTTGTTGGTAGTTTTTATTCATCATGCATCTTTTCAAAGCTCTGTTTTTCAAATTAAAATCACACAAAACAATTTCTTGGTACTAAACCTCTCACACATTTAATTTTGTTGAGCTGTAAATTTCTGATGAATAAATAAAAACATATCTGCAATTTGCGTCTTCGAAAATCCCCATCACTCCCAGGAAGTTTTTCTTCGACCCGGTTTCATGTGAAGTGAGATTATGAGACTTCCCGATTATCTAGTTCGCTTTCGGTGCACCTCTGGCCTGAAGTGCGGGGCGCCGCGCCGGATCGAGGCACGCGCGGGTTTGCCCGATTATTACAACGTATGCTCACATTGAATTCGTATGCAAATAGCAGCCAGTTAAAGAATATCCTAGTTTATCGGTCTAGAGATTTGGATACGAACTTAAATCATCGATTATCTGAAAGATGTCTAGTCAATTGATGTTCGAATAAGTCAAGCTCCCCTCTCCGGAATCGTATGCAAATGTCGGGAAACTGATTAATGCGTCAGAATTCATTGTTTTGCCAAAGGGCATACATTCTTCGATCATCGACTATAACACTGAAAAATTCCCACTTCCGGTTCGTATGCCGCCCTTGGGGAGTGACCTAGGTGTATGCAAACCGGCAAGCGCCCCAATTTGCGTGAGATAAGATCATTGCACTTCATTGCCGAGCTTCTTCTTAAACAAAATTTTGAACTTTTTTCCAACCGGAAGGAGAGGTCAGGGCTGGGGCAAGAACTGGGTTGCGACTCTCCGAGGCACTCCTTCCTGTTAACTTGGACTAAGTGAGTGGGTCCCTTGATTGGCATACCGACTTAGAACTTCGATAAACCCTGTGTCGCGGGCCAACAGCCTATTATACTCAATAAACCACTTTCATCTATATTCAGAACCTTACATGGCGCAGTTTGTATATTGAGAGCCGTTGCTGTCTGTCGCCTCTATTTTCCATCATGCCAAAAGCTGGAAAGAAAAGCAGTCCAAGAAACTACTGACCCTGCTTCAAGTGAGTCAACATCGATACTTTTGTTAGAAGAATACACAAAGCAATCTCTAGCGAATATGGAGTCATCATTTACTGCACGAATGAAACAAATTCAGGATACCATAGATTAATTAATCCCAAACAAATCTATTAGCCCCGATGAAGATGTTATTCCTGTTACGATGAACCCACCAAGTATAAGTAGGATGTCTACAGAAAATGTATCTAATCACCGCATCACTGGTGCCATTCCGATTCCAGACAAAATTGTAGACAACCTTACGTTGGCTCAGTACAAAGATTGGAGAAACAGGTTTGAAAGTTACTTGGTTATTCATAGGCGTTACACATAGACGGGAAAGAAAAAGAAGCAAATATGTCGAACTTATCTGTTGATCTCTTGGATTTGAGTTTTAATTAGCGCAAAACTTTGCATGACCTGTCGAATGTCCAGGACATTTTCAGGACAAGAACTGACGAATCCTTCAAAATCAGAATGAAGTTTCTAGCTGAAACGCTTGAGTACACCGGCTTCTCTCCTGAGCTGGTATTAAAAAAATTCTTCAGGAGAGGAGCAGCTATTACTGTTGATGAAACATGGGTTATCTATGCAGATGAGGAGACTGAGTCAAAAACAATAATGACTATAAGTTCAACAAATATCAATCAGCATTTGGTATTGCACATCCTTTTCTTCGTGATGAGAGGAACAGCTACAAAGAAAGCATTGGAGAAGATCCAAAAGCAATGAGTAAAGCCATTGAACTTCATATTCAATGCGTATAAGACCTATGGCAGCAAGAAGGGCAGTGCTCCTCTGGGAAGAAATACCCCAACCATAGCAAGACTAGCTAGTTGCTTCTCTCATATCGTCTGTTACTTCCTATCTCAAGGAGTCGGCAAGACATACATTGATGAATCAGTGATAGACAAGACAGCTGGACAACAATTGCCAAGACTCATGCTATCTAACATGTTTGTCGGGTTGGTTCCTCAGGCGGAGGACAGTGCTGAGTTAATAGACTATTGTAGGATGAGGAACCTGTTGAATTTCAGTAGGTATAAGGAACCTGAATTTCAGGTTGTTAAGAATGAGAGTCGGATATCCATTACTAAGGATGTAAATAACCAATATGCTATGTGTTCGACTTCCGTAAATACCGACTTGGTTCCTTGTAAAAAGGCACGGTTCGATGTTAGTACCATTAAGAGGAAAAAAGATTACGTGCCATGTCA